AGGCATGTAAAAACACCCTAAGGTGTGCCTCTTTGAGTCCCTTTTAAAGGCTCCTGACCTTACTGCAGCAAAATGAGCAGCTGCATCTCCTCCCACATAAAGATCAAGTTAAAAAGACTGCAGTGTTTCCAACAGACCGAAAGTCTGACTGTGGTGGTGGAGAGCAGGCTCCCTTCAGTGCACGCTTTCCTTTTGAATTATTAAATAATGCCTTATATAAGTCTCTCCTACAGAAATTATATTTGTCAAATACTTTGTGATAAATAACAGTCCAATGTGATTAGCTTATTCTGAGGTGATTCTCTCATCTGTGTTGTGCACATAAACCTCTTCTCATCCACTCCAGCTCCTGTTCAGACCAACCCTGCAGAGCAGAACCAGGCCTAAAATCAGCCGCTCCAGTCCAACCGTGAGAGAAGATCCTCTCCATGGAAGCAGCTTATTTATATCAGGGACCACAACAACAGCAACCTGAGCACCGTGCCGGCTGCTTGCTAGATAACATGAAGGGCCTGATGAGGCTGATGAGTAGAGCTTGAAGTTGGTTGGGTTGACATGATGATTCTGGCTTTTAAACATTTTAATATAAATTCTTTTGTTAGTTTAATTCCTTTTTTTGGCATATTCAGACAACCTCCTAATTTCTCTGTGGTATGTGGAAGCTCAACATTTGAGCCGTCTGTGTTTTCACGTTGTGCAAACTCAACTGGAACACCTGCAAAATGGAAAAAAGTCTTTTATGGCTTTGAGTACAAGACGCAGGATTTGAATATGTAGATGTAATGTAATAAAATACAGCAACAACCAGACCAAAGTTAAACTTCATAAACGAGTTTCAGCCTTAAACCACCAAGCGCTTCATAAACCAACAGCAGAGTTTAGAAGTCACTCTCTGACCAACAGGAAGCAGGAAGTTGTGATATCTGCTGTCAGTGTGTGCATCCGAGTGTTTCAGGGACAAACCCCCACAGGGGAGGTCTAACTCTGCCTTTAGCTGATGAGGATGGAAACTCTGTATTTATTCTGCACATTGATTGGAGTGTCTCTCACAGTAACAGTTGAATGGAAGCTGAAGACAAACAGCCAGTGATGACCCAGAAAAGCACTGGGTCAAATTTTGTCCTCGTTTTTTCCTAAACCACGGGCTCGGGGACATTTTGGTTATCTATCATTTGTTCTAACAAGCTATTTATTTATATCATTGTTCAAATTGCACACATCTGTGCTTCACAGCCCTGATCATTAGATCATTAGTGTTTTTCATGTTTCAGGGCCACACTGTAATTGTCCTCCTCCTGTGTCAGGAGCTGATTCAGGAGGCAGGGACTGCACTAACCCTGAGTTCATCGAGGCTCAGGCCTGCAGCCGGACTTCTGGAAGATAGCACGTTCACTTATTAAACTCCTTCATGAAAAACATGTCTGTGTGTTTGCACACAGATAGTAGCTAAACTAGAAGCGTTATCACCTGCATCATTCAAGTGGATGGTACTTGAGCCAGGGTCTCTTCACACAGGTTAACTTTAGTTCCATTAATCATGACTCAGATTTGAGTCAGAATGAAGTGAGTTAAGCTAAAGTGTGTTCAGGTCATGGAGATACAAGAGTCTCAAGACTGGGGTGATACGATTGTTGGGGTTTTCTCTGTTTTCTTCGTATCACTGAGGTCTTTACCTTACAATATTAAGCACCTTTAGGGGACTGTTGTTGTGATTTGGTACAATATAAATAAAACTGAAATTAATAAATACAAATCAAATGTCATTTGCAGAATCGGCTGGTAAGACAGATTTATTGGTATTTTCTGAGTCGTGTTTGACCAATCATGTTTGAGCAGGTTTTGGCTTCTTGCAGGTGGACAGTCTGTGTGAAGAGCAAAGGGCTGAGCACAGGTATTTAAGCTTATCCACCCTCGCTCTCTCCACTCCTTGCATGCTAATCTTCCCACCCATCTCCCTCTCATTCACACACACAGTACAGGGAGTGCAGAATTATTAGGCAAATGAGTATTTTGTCCACATCATCCTCTTCATGCATGTTGTCTTACTCCAAGCTGTATAGGCTCGAAAGCCTACTACCAATTAAGCATATTAGGTGATGTGCATCTCTGTAATGAGAAGGGGTGTGGTCTAATGACATCAACACCCTATATCAGGTGTGCATAATTATTAGGCAACGTCCTTTCCTTGGCAATGGGTCAAAAAGACTTGACAGGCTCAGAAAAGTCAAAAATAGTGAGATATCTTGCAGAGGGATGCAGCAGTCTCAAAATTGCAAAGCTTCTGAAGCGTGATCATCGAACAATCAAGCGTTTCATTCAAAATAGTCAACAGGGTCGCAAGAAGCGTGTGGAAAAACCAAGGCGCAAAATAACTGCCCATGAACTGAGAAAAGTCAAGCGTGCAGCTGCCAAGATGCCACTTGCCACCAGTTTGGCCATATTTCAGAGCTGCAACATCACTGGAGTGCCCAAAAGCACAAGGTGTGCAATACTCAGAGACATGGCCAAGGTAAGAAAGGCTGAAAGACGACCACCACTGAACAAGACACACAAGCTGAAACGTCAAGACTGGGCCAAGAAATATCTCAAGACTGGTTTTTCTAAGGTTTTATGGACTGATGAAATGAGAGTGAGTCTTGATGGGCCAGATGGATGGGCCCGTGGCTGGATTGGTAAAGGGCAGAGAGCTCCAGTCCGACTCAGACGCCAGCAAGGTGGAGGTGGAGTACTGGTTTGGGCTGGTATCATCAAAGATGAGCTTGTGGGGCCTTTTCGGGTTGAGGATGGAGTCAAGCTCAACTCCCAGTCCTACTGCCAGTTTCTGGAAGACACCTTCTTCAAGCAGTGGTACAGGAAGAAGTCTGCATCCTTCAAGAAAAACATGATTTTCATGCAGGACAATGCTCCATCACACGCGTCCAAGTACTCCACAGCGTGGCTGGCAAGAAAGGGTATAAAAGAAGAAAAACTAATGACATGGCCTCCTTGTTCACCTGATCTGAACCCCATTGAGAACCTGTGGTCCATCATCAAATGTGAGATTTACAAGGAGGGAAAACAGTACACCTCTCTGAACAGTGTCTGGGAGGCTGTGGTTGCTGCTGCACGCAATGTTGATGGTGAACAGATCAAAACACTGACAGAATCCATGGATGGCAGGCTTTTGAGTGTCCTTGCAAAGAAAGGTGGCTATATTGGTCGCTGATTTGTTTTTGTTTTGTTTTTGAATGTCAGAAATGTATATTTGTGAATGTGGAGATGTTATATTGGTTTCACTGGTAAAAATAAATAATTGAAATGGGTATATATTTGTTTTTTGTTAAGTTGCCTAATAATTATGCACAGTAATAGTCACCTGCACACACAGATATCCCCCTAAAATAGCTAAAACTAAAAACAAACTAAAAACTACTTCCAAAAACATTCAGCTTTGATATTAATGAGTTTTTTGGGTTCATTGAGAACATGGTTGTTGTTCAATAATAAAATTATTCCTCAAAAATACAACTTGCCTAATAATTCTGCACTCCCTGTATTCTGGCTTGGTTCCACTGTAATTCATTACTCCTCTCAAACTAAAAATCACTGGCTATAATTTTGTGTTGATTTATTTACTTATTTGTTTTTCCTTTTTATGAAACTAGATTTATAGTATGACTACAAACAAAAATGAGCAGAGGGAGCACAAATTCTTAGCCTTTATATCAGCTTGCAACACCAATCCTGCTGAACACGCATTGCTCCCAGAGACAAAGTCATTAGTCTGAGCTCAGTGGGATCTCAGACCAAGTCTGAGGCCAGTCACTGTCACGTCTCAGGCTAAGTTTTAACAACCACAGTTCAGATCCAGAGTGAGGCGAATCAAGTTGAGCGGAAGTTAAATGTGATTAGAAAAATGCAAAGTCGAGAGAGATCTGAGACATTGAGAAACTCTGATTACAGAAACACAAACTGAGTGAAAGCAGCATGTAGTCTGAAGTATGCATGAGATACACACATTTCTGTCATACATTATACCTTTATAAACTGCAGTTTGTGTGTTTAGTCTGATGTAGTGTCTTTGAAATGTCCATTTCTGTCACTTGAAATGAGTGAAACCTTCACAGTGACTCCAGGTAAAGTCTTACTGAGAAGAGAAAAAGTCAACATTAAGCGCGTCAGAGCTGCCGGAGTTTGATCTGAATGTTTTTGTCCAGTCAAATCTCCAAAGAACAAAACGAACCTTGTCTCAGGCTCTGTCAGCACTGTCAGTGGTTCTGCTGTCAATGCTAACAGCTCTACTCACGGTGTGACTGACTGCACTCAGCACAGACAGTTCACGGAAAATAAAAGACTTACAGATGGCGCATAGAATCAGGCTTTTAATGTGGAAAACCTCCAGGAAGTGTCGGTTCTGACTGATGGCTGGAAAGACAGGAAGTAAAAACTTTTCTTTTCAAGAGAAACTCAGAGTGGTGAGTATGACCAGACTCTGATTGCATCAGAGTGATGAGGAACATTAAACTGGACTTTCCATCAGCACTGATTATTGTCAGCATATGCTCTGGAGACACAGCAGGGACTCCCAGCTCTGCCACTCCTTCACCGAGTGTGTACACCTGATCTGACCTGCTGCCGGTTGGGCTTTAATAATTCAGCCTTCCCCTCCGCCTGACCTCTCCTCCATCTGTGAAGATCAAGCTTGTGTAAAGTGATTACTCATTTCGGCTGGCGCAGGCCCTGCGCCGAGCCTCCCTCGTGACCAAGCTGTTTACCGAGGCCTCCAAAGCTGCCGAGAACGGGAGGTGTGGGTGCAAAAACGTCCGAGTCGATCTCACCTAAACATAACTACAGAAGCTTTATCTCCCCCAAGATTCACAAATCACAGGAGGCTATTAACTCACTTTGCTCCTGCGTGACTTCACAGCTTTATGTTTTCTTTGTGGTCCAGAGAAATTCTCCATGGCACAACGTGACACTCATTCACTCATTCACTCATTCACTCATCATCCAGCAGTCACCTGTCTCTTGGTGTGCTCGCTGACTTCCCCCGGCATGTCATGGGCACTCTTGATGAGCGTGCGGGCAATGTGGTAGTAGTACACAGAGATGATGGCCAGAGGGATGAGGAAGTAAACCAGGAAGATCATCACTGAGTGGATCTTAGGATGCATCTGATTGGACAGCGGGTAGGGCACGCAGTTCACAAAGGTGACATTTGTGTTGTCCCTGTGACCCTGAGAGGAAACAAGGAGAGGAAATTAGGAAAGGAGAGAGGACAAAGAGGAGACAGCAAGGAAAAGAGAGGAGTGGAAAGGAAATAAAACAGAAAGTGTTTTTGTTCTTAGACACATTAAGATGAATAATATGTCCGAGAAGTGCTGAAGGAAGAATGAGGAAATGAAACAAGGAGATGGAGAGGAGGAGATTATGTAGAAAAGTATTCAGTGTGATGAAGACGAGGGAGGAGAAATAAAAAGGGAACAGATAAACAGAGAAAGAAAATCAGTGAAGAGAAATGAAGCAAGAAGGAAACAAATAACAAATACAGGATGGGAGGGGGCAGAATGAAAAGCAGAAACTCGTTTCCAACAGCGTGGACGCAGCAGGTACACAAACTAAATGTTTCCTATGACAGAGGAAACGCAGCACGTTAATATTCTATAAATCGCTCAGAAACAACGATCCTGGTTGTTTTGTGTCACCCTGCGTGAGATTGCCCTAATACGTTTCTTACATCAGCGAGCAGAGACATTTCATCAGCTCTCGTCATCCACCATCCCAGCACGAAAACGCAGCAGATCGATGCCCAGCCTGTGGCCACTGGGGCAAGGGGGGAGTGTGAAGACGTGTTCGGGTAAAGGAGGGGAACATGGACTGTAAAGTGAAACATTTACCACATTATTCTGCAGCGTTTTACCCTCCAATGACATTGCACATTTCTCTCCAGAGGGTCTGATGCTGAGGCCAGGGCAGAATTTTCTAATACTTGTACTAGTACTTCACTAGCTGGGACCACATCCTCGGTAACGATAAGCGATGAACTATGAACTGGTGCTGCGGTTTGGGGAAAGCATCGAAGGGGACTGGCAGCGGCTCCCAGGCCGGGCAGATCCCCATAGAGATTGAAAATGTGACGTCATTCAGGGGTAAAACCACAAAGGATTCTGGGAACTCGTGGCAAGAGGTACTAGCGCACGTAGGCTTTCAATTTAAATTACATTACACAGCGATAAAAAGAAACACAAAAAATGGCAAGAAGCTGTTGTATTATTAACTGCAATAGCCGGTCGCATGACAGCCACGGGAAGCCCACGGGTAAAGAGATCGGTTGTTATCGGATTACGTCGTTGAAGAGAAATTGTTTGAGCCATGTTTCCGAAGTAACAAAGACGCGATGGATGGCCTGGATTGCAGCCATTCAAAGATCAAATATAACGTCCCAGAACTCTCCAGCTCACAGGTTAGTCTGCTCCAAGCATTCCCACAAAGGTCAGAGTTTTGTAGTAGTTAATACGTCATTTTTCTTAACATAATTGGTGATATAGGTTACAAGCAAGTCTGGCGCTGAACAGAAATTGTCGCGCTATGCTCCTTTGTTTATTGTGCATAAATAGTAAATTGTCCTGACACAATATTGCGTTTCGCTTCTGTTATTATGGTACACTGACAAAAACATGTACTTTTATTCACAGGGTAAAACAGTTGTTTTGTATCACTAATTGCTCAGTACGATTACAGCATACAGTATTATTGTCACTGCTACATTTCTGTGATGAACCAGAAATTATTTCCACTGCTAATTAATTACCGTTGAGCTCAAAGGTCATATTAATAAACGGTTAATGAATGTGTATTTATGAAGACAATTTGTAAGACTGGTAAACTTATGATACGTACGATGGTCTTTCATTCTACACGGTGCATTTCAAGGTCCTGCACCCATCCATCGGTAAACTGTACCTGGGCTTGTTGCGTGACCTGACATTACTAAACTTCATGAGTGTATGCACTCACTCCAAGAACCATATGATTATAAATATGAGTGTGGTGAAAGTTGGGCAGCAGGCTAATGTATTTTGTCCACTCTGTGTGCTCGTATGGGTCTAACCCTTTTACTTGATAGATTTTTTCCTCGTATCTTTTCTTTGACTTTTCATCAAGTCTGTCTTTATATGGACCGGCATTGTTCTCCTTCGTTGTGTACATAACTTTTTTGGGGCACAAAGAAAAAGCAAGAAGGTATTGGAACCGGAGAATGAACGTTTTGCGGTGCTGCAAATGCTTGAGTTTGATGCGGTACTTGGATTGTTTTCCCACGAGTTCCCGGCAGGCAATGCACGAAAGTCACATGGTCTGTCAAACTTTATGTATTAACGAGAAGTGAAAGAAGGAAAATGAGAAGAGAAGGAAAAAAAAGGGGGGGGGGGGCATGAATATATATATAGCCTTAGGCCGGAAGGGGTGTGAGTGAGGCGTGGTCCCGCTCCTGAAATTGATGATGATAGGTGGTGGTTCAGGAGCATTCAGACCCACACTAGCAGACACAGAGATAGTTTCTACCCACAAGCCATCAGGCTTTTGAACTGCTGACATTCTGCACACACTATTACACACTCACTACAACTACTGGACTCTACACACACTGTCACTTTAACCACTTTAAAATCCTCACTGCGCAAGTTTTTTTGCACAAAATGTAAATACCAAATAACTGTCTTAAATTCTCTTAATATTTTATAGTTTAGTATTTTGTTATTTGTTGCTGTAGTTGTATTTGTTGTTGCCTTGTTCATGTAAAGCTGAGGAGAATGAGCCAAAGAATTTCATTATGGGTTAATGTGGCTACACTGTTTATCTGTATATGACAATAAAACTTGAAACTTATAATACTAGTACTGTTTGCAGGAGTTGATGTACGTTATGGTACCTGCATGGAGACAACTTGGGAGAAAATAGCCTCAGGAACAGCCAGCAGGACGGAAAGCAGCCAGATAGAAACAGCTTTCAGACACGTCCAGAAGACAGCGCTGGATGTCTGGATGTCCATGGGGTTTACTATGGCCTTATACCTGCAAGGGATGGGGGGAAATGTCAGCAAAATGTTTATGGAATAAAACAATAAGAACATGATAAAACACTTTACATGTACCCAGGTAACAAAAACAGTTAACTTATTTAAAATCTTATGTGAAAGAAAAACATTTACAGCCCAGTTCACACTTTAAAACGGGCACAAGCTGCTCTTCATTGTGGACACTGATGAAACATCAGGGTAACAGCAGCAAACTTAAAGTCTTACACTTTCTCCACAAGTAGCTCGTTCCCTCACTGCTCCTCTCCAGTCTTTTCATTCTTCCCATTTTCAGCTACCTGATTCCTCACACCTTCCAAACTTCCCTCATTCCAATGATGCAGTAATTGTCCATGTAATTGTAACATGCCCAGCCATCCAGCTAAGGAAATCGCACAAAGTTGATTCTGTTCATCTGGACGTAGCATTTTCAGCGGGAGAAACATTTTGTCTCTCATCCAAGTGACTTCTTCAGTCTCAAGACTGCAGAACACAACATTTTTCAGTCATTTGTAGATTTATGTTTAGCATCAATAACTTTTAGATTTGTTTTCAGTCCATCACATCACTGTGGACGAATTCAAGCTCACTTTTCTGTGGCATTATGTTAAAACACACCTAAACACTCCAGATCAGCAAACTGCAAAAACATTTACAGTTTTACTTATGCCTGTTAAGGATCAACTAACCAAATGCATTTACAGGTATTTGCTCCCTCCTTACAGTAAGGGTTTCTTTGTCTACACAGAGGACTGAAAACTGTTTTCACACAGCTGTATGTCTCAGTCTCTGCACACAGGGATGAAGAAACATGGAGATTTGCTTTTGTAGTCATAACAGCTAAAATATTCCTACTTTAAGGCTTGTTTGAAGGGTGGGAATTTATTTAAATGACTGTAAACATCAACTAAATAATTCAAGGGTTAACTCTGTTTGCTGTGTAGCTGCTGGTTGGAGGAATGATGTCAAATGTTTAAGTTGGTGTTCATTTTATCCAACTTCCAAAGGACAATGTGAGACATCTGCAGGCGTTTTCATTGGCTTCTGGTGTCTGACAGCATTATCTCAATGATAATCACATACTCCTGGCTCTCTGTTATCATATACCTGCTGCAGCTTCGGTGTCCTTTCCTCTCTGATCAGCTGCCAGGTTTTGCCTCCCTGCCTGTTTCTTGACTTTTCTCCTGCCCTTTTGCTCCACTCACTTCTGATTCCTGCCACTCTCACACTGACTGAAGCTCATCCACTCACTTTGCCCCTCGGTCATTTCTACCTGTTTTTAAAAGTAGTTTCAACTTCCTATCTGCCGCTGTCATGCATTTGATGACTGCACTGCACAGACAGATTAACATCCCAGTGAAACTGGAAGATAATAACGTTAAGAGAGATGCACCTCATCTGAACAATGAAATGAACTCTTATCAGTCTAAGATGCAAATAATATAATTTGACCTACTGTTCACTTCTAAATATTTACAACCCTCAGATAGATATAGATATATAGATATATATACTTTATTTTTTTACATTTCACACTTTCTACACATCAGTATTTACCTCTTCAACCTCTTTGATGAGAACATATTCATCAGAAAGAACTCATAGTGATAATTAAGATTAGCCACTGCAATGACCTCATCATTATAATGCTGAGGATGGTCAGGTCTCATATCAGGCACACTTTACAATTACTAACAATCTGTTTTAGAATGCAACACCAAAATCAAGAGTAAAACTGTGTTCCAATAAGGGCAACAAGATTAGACCCGTTAGTGCTACAGCACCTAGGCTCAGAGTTACAAATCATCTATGAATGAAGACAAATATGAACTCACAGTACTGAGTGAACAATCAGCTAAAGAAAATCCACACAAGAGCTCAAAAGACTACCAAAACAAAACAGGAGGTGAGGAACTATAACTAACCAGGACAGTGCAGACACATGAAAACACTTAACATAGGCAAAATGACAGAATAGAGACACACAAAGAACTTGACACTTAAAGACAAAGAGTGCACCACAATCAAAAGCAAACACAAGCAACAAACACATAGGAGCATTAACACCACACCCATTAGAGACAGTTAAAATGTTAAAATATGTTCAACAAAGAGTGTATTTCTTTCCTTGGTATGTTTAATCAGAGTGTTATAGCTAAACATGTAATGAAGGCTAAAGAAAAAGGACAATAAACACAATGCTTTTTCATTTAAATGTATTTATATTCTCTATCCGCTACTTTCATATGTGCATCAGATAAACTGTTGATGATGCTCCTTGTGTGACATTAAAACCTTCCACAAGAAGAGATCACTTAAAGAAAACATGTGCTCAACACAAATCTTGTAACTTTTGTTTTTATGCTTATCAAGATATTCCAGCTTTTCCACATCAGCAAAGCATTAAAACTTCTTTCATATTCTATTTGAAAATGGTCATAAAACAGCTGGAAACAGAGCTAATGCAAGCACAATGACGCATACTTCCTCCGTGCGGTGCCTGTAAAGAGTCTCGCTCTATTGAAGCAAACAATGCTGAAAAAAATGGGCTCATTGCTGAAGGTAAGCGGCACCCCCGACCCTGTTAGTCTTCATCAAACTCATACAAACACAGGTGAAGCACTTTGCAGCAGGTCTGAAGAGTACACCTCCAATGGTGTATTGCTTCCCTGTGCAGTAGAAGCAGTTTAGTCCAACCTGTGGCCGTGAGGAGGAAGTCCAACAGTGGATGCGAGGGACTGAAGGATTCAGCCCTGAAATGATTTTGTATTATTCTGCAAAATGAACAGAATACTAAAAAAAACTATTTAACTATTTCTATGAAAACACAATTTCAAATTAGACATCAAGGTCCTGCCACTGTGCAAAGACTAAAAATCATTACTGCATTAACCATTGATCACACTTCATATTTTCGCACTGAATGCAAACATAAATCATTTAATAACCACATCATTTTCTTTTGCTGGCATTAGCGGCTCCAGTCTCTTTGTTACTTAATAAGAAACCACATCATCCATCGGGTGGCAGGAGAGGGGACGCAATAGTACTTTGTCACACTAATCACAATTATTCTTTATGTGTAATCGTGGAGCTGAATTTTAAATTCCTCATTAGGCCAAGCAGATCAGTCATTCAGCTGACAGGGACACAGCAATTTTTTTTTGACACTGTAATTTTTATTGATAGTTTTGTCACAGTTTAAACATAAACATGTATTGCATTACAGGAGAAATAACCATGCAAGCACACAGTCAAAACAAACAGAACTAAAGCAAACAAAAGGTGTGGGTGCCAATTCTAATCAACTACCGTATGCATGCCTGCCTTTACTCCGCAGCATACATACTCCAGCTTATATACGTACTTTTATACGGGCATGCATCAATAGATATACAGAGTTATAGACCTTAAATGTTTTGTTATTTTCCTTGGTGCCATAAAATGTCCACTTCTCCCACTTAGCAACGAAAATATCTTCCTTTAATCTGAAAATGTAAGTCATTTTTTCCATTGCATAAATTTCTCCAACAATATTTAACCAGTCTTTTGAAGAAGGCGGATCCAGTTTGTTATTTCTCTCTAGCTGGATGAGGACGGCTGTTAGTTTTGATAGAGTTCTATGAGACTGCTGACTTTAGGTGGGGAAAATACAAATAAGCAAAACAGATCTACAGAGAAACAAGAAGTGGAAGAAGTTCCACTTTATATCATCACGTTCTGTGCTTTCTCTGCATCAAAGTTAAACTTTTTTGTTTTTAACATGTGTTGATGATGCTATTTTGATAGCCCTTCTTGAAGCACAGGTTTGCATTAACTTTGCCACACTGAGTTGGTTTTAATTTTCATCATTATCTGAAATCTGTGGTGTACCCCAAGGTTCAATTTTAGGTATTATTTTGATTTCTCTTGACACTAGTTGTCTTTGGAAATTGATCTAACATCCCATCGCATTCCCTGCTATGCAGAGGACAAAGGGATCCTTTTGTTTTAGCTTGTCCCTGGATTATCACCTGCTGAAATAGTGAAAAGAAATTGTGAAATGCCGTCTGAGGCATTTAGAGGTTAGATCAGATGTCACTTTGATCTGTCCCATTAAGACCACCCTTGTCCACTAGTTTGATAGCATAAAGTTAAATAACAATTTTTTTAATAGTTTCATTTGACCTGAAAGGAGCTGCTCTGTCTTCCTTCCTCCAATTAAAAAACATTATCGATAAGTTGCTTTAACCCACCAAGGTGAAAAGAGTCAGCTTTTATTTTCTTGAGGTTACAATACTGCCACACATTTCCTGTAGGTTTTTAGAAACGATTTTCAGATTTTACTGATAACTTCTAAAGCATGTCTGAGTCCTACCTAAAACTATAGGGCTAAAATGTTGAACCTGTGAACCAGTTTGCCTCAAATCAGTCTGGAATATTAGCAAGGTTGGTTAGCAATATCTATCAACTGAACACTTGCATCATACAAACAGATACTGGCACATTAATGCTACGTAACAGAAATAACATCCAGAAAATTCACTCATTAAAACTCCAGCAAGCAGTATTTGCCAAACAAACAGCATTAATACAGTACAGTGACTTCAATTAGCTAAATTAAACAGCCGCACCTGTTAGCTCAAACCTTAGACCTTAGCAAAAGTAAAATAAGAGATTTTTGTCATGATACGCTATGTAGCAGACAGGAAAGGATAGCTTAATTGCTAGAACTCACAGAAAATACAAAGCAAAACTGAGCCAAACATGCATCTTTTGAGCCAAAAGAAACACCCCCAGAGGAGTGCACCATGAAGAAAAACAAAGACCTTTGGAAAACTGAGGCATTAAATAGACACATGAGGTAGTTAGAAAGAAAGGACACACTGGGGAAAATGAGACACAGCTGAACAGAATCTAACAAGACAGGGGGACAAAATAAAACAGAAAGTAACAAAACCTGAGAACAACTACACCCAGGAAAACTTCCATGGAAATGGAAAACAAGGGGAAAGTCAA